GGCCGGCAGGTTTCTGAGTTATTATGGGGTAAGGAGAAGGCAGTAGTGGCAAACAGTATGATTGCGTAAGCCTTTTCCTTAGGAAAGCCATCTAGCAGCATGCATTATTCACAGGGTTGTTGCTGCAAGCCAAAGATAGCTAATAAAAATTACAAGACAGTTAGGGTCAGGATTATGTTCATTTTCCTTAAGGCAGAACTGAAAGCCAGAAGAGATCCCTCCTCTGCTTTGCCAGCCTCCCTTGGATGTTCAGAGAGCATTTCACGGAGTGTTTCACTTCCCACAGAGAAGGGAACTCACGTTTTATTCACCTGTAGACCACATGGTCAAAATGGAAATGCCACAAACTGTGACTTGTAGCCTCCATAACCTGCAGTGTTGGCTAGTAATAAAGCTGAAGATGAGGCACTGCAGAACCCGAGTGCAGGCATCACTTGGCCATGGACAATGATTTAGCGAGTATTGGTATACAACATATTCATTGGCTTGATGTGGTCATGACAAGGGCCATTTATTGACAGCATATTTTTCTTAGCATGAGTAATATTTACATGGCAAGGGATTTAAGGAATATTCAGTAAAACTCTTAACCTAATGCTGTGAAATGAAGAGGAGTAAGTCCTTAATGAAAATTTGCTGAACATCAGCAGGAGCTTCTGAGAGGTGTTAAATTCTGAGGTCTCTAAGCCAGCTCTTCTTGAATGGACTAATAATCAGATGGAAAATACAGGATACAACTTTAAGAAGACATAGTGTGTTATCTAACAACCACTTTGAATATAGGAATAGGAGACCACCTGGGACAGATCTGTGTCTTGCTGAAGCTAAGGATAGTTGTGCAAGCATTCAACTGTTGCCTTGTACGGTTCGGTCTTGGGCAGATTATTGCACTAATAGTTTTGGCCTTACATAATTTTCGTTAATTAGCTCTTTTCCAGGACATGTTGGTGCTTACAAAGAGGATGTCTCATGCTATGCTTTCTGCCCTGTTTCAGGCAGGCCTCTTCTGCCTCCCTGCCCATCCCCAGGGTCACCCAGGGTTGCTTCTTCCCCCTCCTCCCTCATGCCCAAGCTTTGCTTCCCTTCCCCTGCCAGCTCCAGGCACACAGCCTGTCTCCTCTCCCCTTTTAACTCTCGCCCCCAGCCCATAGCACAGCCAGAGAGCCTCTCCCAGCAACCACAGCTGGGCACCAAGGGTGCTGTGCTGCAGGAAAGCTGCACACAGTCATTTCATTTTATGTATTTCTGGCCAAAAAGAGAGACGTGGCTAATTAAAACAACATCACTGCACAAAGGACATGTTCACATGCGTAGGAGGATTCTAAATGCAGAACGATGCATTACTCTGGCCTCGGGGAAATGGAGGTAGGGCTTTGTTGATTAAATATTATAGAGAGGGAGGAAAGAATAGAAGAGGCTACGCGTAGCTGAGTTGGAAGGATGGCTCAGCGCAGCACAAGTCAGAAGGCTCAGTTCTTTAAACAGCTTGTCAGAATCTTTTACCAAACATAGGGTAAAACAAATTCAGCACAAATGCTTTCCAACTTTCCCCTTCACCATCAGGTAACAGTAACTGGATGGTTAAAGACCATCACAGACAGCTTCCAGGAACTTACACAAACTCTCTGAACACTCTAATGAATCAAAGTGACTCGGCTTCGCAATCCCTCATGGCTGCTAATAAATCTGTCTGCTAAGCAGGCTTATTTATTTTTGAAATATGTGATTGCAGGCAGCTGCATATCCTCCATACTGCTTCAGCTTTTCATACATTGGGCTGGGGTGTTAGGGACACTGCCAAGGGGAGCTCCACAGGAAGAGCACCCATTCCATGCGGTGGCAGTGGCACACCTAGGGTACCTCCAGCTGTACTGGTGTTTTCTGTGCTAACAGAGGACATAAGGGAACATCTCTCCACTGGCCCTGGCAGCTGATGAGGAAGCAACTATTAACTCCTAGCTACAATTACCGTTCCGTACCTAGTACCCCAGTTGCTGAATCCTACAGCTCACTACAGACTCGTGGGAGCCAATGCAATGGGAGAGGATAGAGACAGGGCAGAGTAACATTGAGCAGCCCTGGAGCCAGCTCCATCTGCAGACCAGAAGCAGCTTTGTGTATATAAGCCTGAAAACGGTGCTGGTATGGAAAAGCTACATTGACTTACTGCTCTAACTTAATATCAACCAGAACCAAAAGCTTGCTCTGTCTTTTTTTAGAACTATTGACTGCTTTTAAATCCCTGGAGGCTCTCCTACCTTAGGCTGGTAATAGAGTGTCCTCAGAAACCAGTGGATATTTTTCTCAATTACTTTGCAGACAAGGTTAACCCTATACATGCCCAGCCAATCCCTGCTCCTATGTACTTTTAAAATATTATTTCCAGAAGGGGGAAAGTTGCTTTGTCTCTAATTACTTTAACCTTTATCAAAATTCCCCACAATCATTTTTTTACATGGTTGGGAAAGAACTGATATTTAAAAGCATGGGCTTTATCACCTATTTGTTTCCCTTCTCTGGTCACTCAGTAAAATGTCTGGTTGTTAGAAGATACCTGTAGGAACACAGGTGGTATTACCTTGTCAGGAGTTTGTCTTAGAGCGTTAGTTTAAAATAACAAAGATATTCTAAATTGGCTGAAAACTGGCAGAAAAAAGGAAAATCTGAATCAGGTTGAGGGCCTCAAGGAGGAGAGAAATAATCAAGGACCGCTGCAAGAAAATTAACTAACAGTAGCAAGATAGAATTAAGAAAAAAAGACATTTGGCTCCTTTTCAAGAAAAAAAAAAATCCCACTGTTGATGTCTATTAGTCTTCTTATGAAAGGAATGGAGGCTATTACTTGTGTCTTCTAAAGGTAAGCAGAACAAATCACTAGAAAATATGCTTTAGGGAACAATCTTGCTCTGGCAGAGGATGATGAAATAAATTACCCCATGTTTCCTTCTTAGTGTCTGCAATTCAAGGTAAGCTGCCTGTGGAGGAGATGGCAGGAAGAAAAAAGGCATGTTCAAAGAGCCTAATCTTTCTCTGGCCAGGTCTTCTAATTCAACTCCGGCCTCAAACTTTACTGCTTGTTCGTTCTGCTGGACACTACCATGGCCCCAGAACGGCTTTGGAAGCACTTCACAGATAATGACTAACCGGACACCCACCGGGCTGCCTGGCAGTTCGTCGCACAGAGGTTGCCTTGGCAAGGGATCGTCTCTGGAGATGCACCACAGAGAGCTTGCTCCTTAGTTGTTATTTCTGCACCTTCCAGACATTTCTCCAGGTGCTGGAGGTGTCATGAACACGTGTCTCCTTGGCCTGTCTAAAACTTGGTTGCTTGTTTGGCATGAGGCTTTCTTAACACACTCAGCAGCTGGCCAGTTTGGACATGTACATTGCCTGGACTTCAAGCTGATGCATTTTTTACAAGTGGTAATTGGTGCTTTCCTTTTACAGCCTCTCTGTTGAAGTTTGTGCCTGTGACATATTTATTTAATCTGAGATTTCCTTCAGAAACACTGATCCTAGGCCTGCTTTGCATAGAGTGCAAAGCAAATCTGCACGTGGTCAGAGCTGTTTAGTATTTCAGTAGAGTCCCATGGGGTTGCAGCAGTCCTTGAGCATGCTCTACAGAGTGGGATGGGAAAAGTGGATTAATACAGTCCCTGGAGGGTGATCCTCTTGTGACTTTTTGAATCAGGTAAAAGGAGGAAAGCTTGAAAAGAAAAGTGCAGTTGACTGAAAAGGCACAGAGACCTCTGAAAGCCTGCTGATCTGGCAAGAGCTTTGTCTCTTGGAAGCAGTCTACAGAGACGAGATCTCAACACCGCTGCATAAATCCCAGAACGGCTCTGCATAATTCACATCAGAGTTAATCCAGATCCATGTTTATGAAGCCAGAAAAAACGTGACCCTGCTATTTATCATGACACTTACCGCTCTTTTTTTTAATTATGTCAAAAGCCTCAGACAGAATCATCCCTTCCTTCTTGTCACAGTGCTGGGTACGATGCTAGTAAGAAAAGATTGTGGGTTTTGGTTTTGTTTGGAGGGGTTTTTCTATATTATTTTAATAAGATAAATGCTTCTCCTCTGATTAGCATCTAACTGATTCTCCTAAGTGCCTCAAGGCAGGGCCTGAGGAGGGAATGCAAAGAGGTGGGAGGGAAGGCCATGCTACACATAAGTCATCGCACGGTCCAACGGATGAAGAGGGGCAGGGAGAAGAGATGCGAGAACACAGGATGGCTGCTATAAACGGAGCAGGGCCAGAGGAGCAACATGATGGGACATTACTGCGTAAGTCTAGGAGAGCACGTCTTGCAAAACTGTTAAGATAAGAGCAAGGATTATGGCTCAGCATGGGGAAGAGTCATGGGAAGGATTCGAAGATGAAGGAGTTTTGGTCACAGGAAGGCTGGCATGCTGGTGAGTGCTCCACACCTGCCCTTCCCAGTGGTACATGTCAATGGGATCCTTGGATACATCCTAGTCTTGAGAGAGACAGAAAAAAACTTGAGTATGAACAGGTTTATGGGTTGCCCTTCCACAGAACAGCAGGCAGTATGCACAAGTATAGATGAAGAATGGGACAGTAAAAACTTACAAATTATTGCAATTAAAGGTTGAGCCCCTTGGCTTTTGCATTTCTCAGAGACTGTTTCAGTTCTTATAAATTGAATTTCTTATTTCTTATATTTGAAACATCAGCTTAGATCACCCAATTAGTTTGCCAGAAGAAAGATGTTTATGCAAGTTTGGGGTTTTTTGTCTG